TTTCTTTCCTTTAGTAACATTTCCATAAATAGTTCTTTCATCAAGTTGTGTGTGTTTTAGTAAAATCTGTTATAGCAAAGTCATTCATTTATAAGTTGACTTTTATTTGAGAATGTGCATAAACCCCTCTCTCTTCCCATTACTAACCTGTTTAACTCTTAGTAAATTATAGGTTGGAATTATATTTATATTGTTCTACAATCACAAAATTTAGTGTAGTGTTTGCCCTAAAATGTTTTATTTTCTCTTTTGTTTTCTTTATTTTTCCTCCTTATACCCTCTTCCACCCTTCCCGCAGCAATCACCACACTGTTGTCCCAGTTTTCTCATTTAAAAAAATTTTCTAACTTAGCATTTAGACACTAACTCCCCACCACCGTCTGGGTGTGTGTGTGTGTGTGTGTGTGTGTGTGTGTGTGTGTGTTAAAGATTACTACCCCTCACAGCTAAAAGTGTGATCGTGTTACAGAAACTATGGATGATTCATTTTCATCCAAAAATCTTTGAAGAAGTTCCACACCTAAGAGTAATTTTAAGTATAAGATTAGTGACATTTGGGGAGTTCCCCCCCCCCCATTTGTTTGAAAAATAAACTTGATTTATTTAATTTGTAGAGTTTCCTGAGAGATTATCGCTACATTTTAAGTATAAAACAATTGTGACACTGTGTTGTTAATATTGACCTTGTTTTATTCATTTATTTATTGATTTTAACTTTTTTGACAATCTGAACTTTAATAAATGAATTCTAACCTCTGTGGGAAAAATGTTAGAAAAAATTTGCTTTTATTTCTAAGTTACATGCTGTATTTTACCAATAAAGTTGAATTAAAAGGAGTTACCTTTTAATCCATATCCTCTCTAGCTCATTTTTCCTTCACAATTCTTAAACCATGAATTTTTCAAAACATGATTTGCAATAACAGAGACTTATGATTTTCAATCTGAGCTGGACTTTTAGTAATTCATGGTAGTTAGTTCTGTGTTCCTTTCCCTTTTGTTTTCCTTTTACATGTATGACATACTCTTACCCTTATCCTTAAGTTAGTATCTTTGTCATTCTCAGAAGATTATCCTGTCTCCTATTTCAGATGGAAAGGGAAGGGGGATAAGAGAAGAGCAGGGGTAAAGGCAGGGGTAAAAGGAGAGAATTTACCTACTATATTTGACCTTTTTCCCTCTGCAGGAATCTCAGTCAATATCCATTTTCTTCCTGTTTCTATAAATTCTCCCACCTTACTGAGTACTTGTACTTAGTCATTAAGAACAAGTTTTTATCTCTTCTATCCTAAAAATTATCCTGTTATCAATTTTCTCTCAACTCTGCTCTTTCTACCCTGTTTCCCCAAAAATAAGACAGTGTCTTATATTAATTTTTAATTTTTGCTCCCAAAGATGCGCTAGGTCTTATTTTCAGGGGATGTCTTATTTTTCCAAGAAGAAGAATACGGTACACATTTATTGTTAAATGAAAATAAAGGAAATTTATTACTGTATATGGTACGGTAATACGGTAGTTGTCAACACAAACCAGACAAACTGTGAATCCTACAGTATCAAGAATTTACTCATTTATTCAGTGACAATCATGTCATCATCTTCTGGAACATTATCATAACAATCCAATTTCTGAATTTCCTGGTGAATTTCTTGTGACTCCATTTCATTTAGAATCAGTGGACCAAATCTCTCATGTTTAGCCTAGGGGGGGCCTTGTTTTCAGTGGAATGCCTTATATTTCACTTAGAAGGAAACTGTGAGTAGGTCTTATTTTCGGAGGATGTCTTATTTTCGGGGAAACACGGTAGCAACAACTCCATCTCATTCTTTACATTTATTGCTAATCTTTTGAGTTTACTTACTATTGCCTTTATATCCTTCTATTCAGGCCTCAACTATATTATTTAAAAAAATTTTAAACTGAATTTATTGGGGTGACATTAGTTAATAAAATTATGTAGGTTTTAGGTGTACAGTTCTATAATAGCATCATCTGTATATTGTATTGTGTATTCACGACCCCAAGTCAAGTCTCCTTCCATTATCATTTATCCCCCTTTCACTTACTCTTCCACCTCCCCACTTTCCTCTTTCCCTTTCCTAATCACCAGATTGTTGTGTTTCTGAGTTTATTTTTTTTATAATCTCTTTATCTTTTTCACAAACTATCTATAAAAGCCTAATCGGCCTTGAGACTGGTAGCTATGACATTCACTGACCACCAGGGGGCAGACAATGCACAGGCATGGAAACATGGAACAGGCTGATGATCTCAGAGGTAAGGGGGAAGGTGAGGAAAGGCATGACAAGATTAACCAAAGATCTTATATGTATACTAGAGGCCTGGTGCACGGATTTGTGCACCAGTAGGGTCCCTTGGCCTGGCCTGCAGGAATTGGGCCGAAACCAGCAGTCAGACATCTCCCAAGGAGTCCTAGATTGCTAGAGGGTGCAGGCCAGGCTGAGGGACCCCACGTATCGGGCCTATAGTATTCTTATAAGCACCAGTCTGTTAAAATTGTGAAGTATTTTTTAATCTCTTTGTAAGATTATACATTGATTTCTTATTCCTTTAGAACAGTGGTTCTCAACCTTTCTAATGCCTCGACTCTTTACTACAGTGCCTCATTTTGTGGTGACCCCCAACCATAAAATTATTTTCGTTGCTACTTCATAGCTGTAATTTTGCAACTGTTAATGAATAGAAATGTAATTATTTGTGTTTTGTGATGGTCTTGGGTGACCCTGCTAGTGGTTCTCAACCTGTGAGAACCGCTGCTGTAGAGTCTAAGACCATCGGAAAACACAGATATTCATAGCAGATAAAAAAAGTTTTTATCAAGAATTTACAAGTAGTTTAAGCAGTCAAATAGTATGCTGCAAAACTTGAAAAAGAGAACCCTTCTTCATGCCTTCTAGTGCCTGATCTCCACCATTGAGAGGCACCCATTTGCAACCCTTTTTATCATTTCTTCTGCTACTGACTTATATCCAAATTAACATGTTACACTGATTTTTGTATACATACATCAATTTTCTTACAATTTCCTCCAATTTTCCATTTCTCCTGGACTTCATAAAATTTTAAATTTTCTTTTTTTGTCCATATACTAATTATTAAAATTGATGTTTAGTATAGAATTTTTTGAATTTCATTTTCAATTATTAAAGGATGGTAATGCATTTCTCTTATGCCAGATTAAAAAATAATAGCACATATTGAACAGAGGAACTTGCGTCCTCTCTTTTCCAGCAGAATTCTCATGCAGTCCTTTCCTTTCAGCCTCATTGGTATCTTACTCATCTCTGTATGTGCCAAGCGTGATTTTACCTACTGGCCTCTGAACTGGCCCCTTCTGAATGGAACACCCCTATCATGGCCTGAACATTTGTGTCCCCTTAAAATTCATTTTGAAAACTTACCTCCCAGTGCGATGCTGTTAGGAGTAGGGCCTTTGGGAGGTGATTAGGATTAAATGAGATCAGAAGGGCTTTGCTCTCATGAATGGGGTTTAGCATCCCTGTGAAAGTACAGAGAGAGCTTGCTTCTGTTTGCTCCCTGCCACAGGGGATACAAGAAGATAGTCACATGGGAGCCGGGAAGCATGTCCTTACCAGACATTGAGTCATGAAGCTTATCCTTTATATTATTTCTAAGAGTTTTATAATTTTAGCTCTTACATTTAGGTTTTTTTTTTTTATCCCCTTTGAATTAATTTTCTCATATGGTATAAGGTAAGGGTTCAGCTTCATTCTTTAGCATGTGGATATCTAGTTTCCCCAGCAGCATTTGTTGAAAAGACTGCCCTTTCCCCGTTTGAATGGTCTTGATACCCTTTATTGTATATTATTGGACCATATATATAAGGGTTTATTTTTGTGCTCTGTTCTAGTTCATTGGCCTATATTTCTGTCTTATGACAATATCACACTGCTGTTTGATTACTATAGCTTCATATAGTAAGTTTTGAAATTAGGAAGTGTTACTTCTCCAAGTTTTTTCCTCCTTTTCAAGATTGTTTTCACTATTTAGGTTCCTTATAAAATTTAGGATGGATTTTTGTATTCTGCAAAAACACAAAAGAGGAATCGCATTGAATCTTTATATCACTTTGGGCAGTATTGATATCTTAGTGATATTAAATCTTCCAATTTGTGAACATAAGATGCTTTGCCATTTGTTTATGTATTCTTTAATCTTTTCAGCAGTGTTTTGTAGTTTTCAGTGAACAAGTCTTTTGCTTTTTTAGTTAAGTTTATTCCAAAGGTGTTTTTTTTATGCTATTGTAAATAGAATTCTTAATTTCCTTTTAGGGTTATTTATTATTAGTGTATGGAAACCAATAAGTCTTTTTGTGTGTTATTTAATATATTACATTACTGAATCACTTAATCTTTTGTCAGTATTTCACTGGCAGACAAGTGATTTGAATTAAATTTAAATGGAAACTAAAAACCAGAACAATTTCTGATTTGAGTGCAAGTATTACATTTTTATTTTATTAAAAATATTTTAATTGATTTCAGAGAGGAAGGGAGAGGGAGAGAGTGATAAAAACATTAATGATAAGAGTAAGTCATTGATTGGGCTCCCTCCTGCATGCCCCCACTGGATATCAAGCTTGAGACGTGGGCATGTACTCTGACAGGGAATTGAACTGTGTCCTTCTGGTTCATAAGTCGACACTCAAACACTGAGTTATGGCAGCTAGGCTAAATTTTTATTTAATCTTTGTTAATCAAACTAAGGTTTAAGCTTATATAAGTGTACTAATTTGGACTATAGATCTGGAAAAATACTTGTAAATCAAAATTATCTTAAAAATTTAGTTTCAACTCCTGATGTCATTAAAAGCTTTTAGAAATGATATTTCTGGAGTATAAGTTAGAGCTTGTAGCTTTTACTGTGTCTTATTCATGTTTCTCTAGAAGTTGCTGAAAATGTCTTTTACAGTTTGGAGGTGGGATTGATCATTCTAGATAATTTTTTTCTTTTACAGGCCACAGAAACATTATTTAGAATGGGCGTAGCAAGAGGAACCATCACAACCTTAAGAAATGGAGAAGTAAGATGATAATTTTGATATAATTATTAATTCCTAAAGATATATACATATTTTTAAAAATATGGTTTTATTGATTTTAGAGAGAGGTAGGGAGAGAGAGAGGTAAATAGAAGTATCAATGATAAGAATCATTGGCTGCCTTCTGCATGCCCCTTGCATCTCTGGCCTGTGCCCTGACCAGGAATGAAACCACGACCTCCTGGTTCATGGCTCAACCATTGACCCACACCGGCCCGTCTAATTATTAGTTCTTAATTCATAGAATACCACTTAAAAATGTGAATTTTATGATGCTTTATGTAACAAATTGAGAAAAACCTGTTGTATATCTGACTTAATAATATATTTTAAATAATTCAATCATATTGGAACCTGATCTTGGGCTGAAATTGAATTGCTGAGCCTCTTAACCTTTACTTACCAATTGTTTTTATGCTTAAAAGAAAATGACATTTTGTTTAATAACAACTTCTAGAAATGTATATTTTTTTAATGAAAATAACCCCATACTTTTGTTTCCTGTTTTATGTTCCATAGAGCTGATACTTCTTTCTTAGGATAAAATAATTTGAAATGCTGATATTTATTACAGATTAAGAGAGATAGAGAGAGAGGGAGAAGAGAAAAAGGAGGGGAGAGAGAGAAATGGAATTTAGTCTTCTCTTTCTTATAGCAGAGACTCAAGATACAGATTTTAAATTTTGACTTTTTTGTTTCTACCAATTCTTAAAAAAAATTCTACCACCTGAAATAAATTTTTATTCCAAACCATTACTAGTCTAATTATCATTCTACTTTATAAAATGTATTGGTCAATATATGTGCTTGTTAGGTGAAAATGTACAATCATTTGGAAATTATAGACTCTTAAATGGCAAATATCTTTGGCATTAATTTGTAACATACTTTTTGTATGAAAAAGACAAGTGACCCCTTTGTATGCTCAACAAACTTAGTATGTGGTGTCAGTTTAAGAAAACATTCTCATTAATAAAGTCAGATATGTCAAAATGAATATCAGATTTTAGTAATTACTGTGTATTTTCTCATGGGAGAATGAACTTTTGAACTTTACCTTCTGTAATAAGAAGGTTGGGAAAATGTATGGAAGGCAGTTTTATAAGAAATCTGAGCACACCAACACATATTGGATAGGTACCTATTTGGGGAAGTAGTTAAAGCAGCTGTATTTGATCTATTTCTCCCCCAGATTGCTACAGGTGACTAACGTAGTTAACAGGTTTTAATGTTTGATAAAGTGTCTTTAAATTTTTAAAAAAAATAATAGTTTATTGATTTTTAGAGAGAGAGGAAGGGAAAGAAGCATCCATGTGAGAGTGCAACGTCGAATGGCTGTCTCCTGCCCGCCGCAACCCCCTTCTCCCAGGTCTGAGCCCCAAACCTGGGCATGTGCCTTGACTGGGAATCGAACCCGCAATCCTTTGGTGCACAGGATGATACCCAACCAATTGAACCACACCGGCCAGAGAATGTTGGACAAAGTTTCTAACATAAAATTGAAACTGGAAGAAGTACAGTTTCCCCCTTACATTTTAAGATCCCTAAAAATGGACTGTGTCTTCCAGTCAGTAGCACCTATAGTCACCATTCACTATTATTCATATTTATGATTCATATTCAACATCTCTTAAATTGTGAGATTTCTTATAAGACTATGATATTTTAGAGTTGATAATGTATGGTAATATTTTGTATTTTAAAAATTATAGAGTGAGATGATATAGTAAATATCCAGTAAATAGTAGATAGGATAGGCCACTAATTAGTATTAATTATTTGACTTTTAGAAGTAGGATATTAAAACAAAGCAAATATATTATTGAATATGTGTATGTATATGGGTGGCATACACATATTGCAGATGATGGTGGGCTGAGTGCTATATAATATGGTTCCTGTTTTTAGAGTAACTCCCTGTCTGCTGGAAGAAACAATTTTATCAATATTTGAAAAAAAAATCTGGAAAGAATAGAAATGCTTAGTTTAGGTGGAGTCTGGAACTAATTAGAGTGCAGATTCCACTTGAAATGTGCTAAATTTTAGTATGAAGGCAATAACAGAGATATCATTTGGGAGTATGAGATAAACAAAAAGGTTAACAATATAAGGGATTATTTAAAACAGAAGCAGAAATCACCATGTTTATCATAATGGAAAATTTTTGATATGTTAAAAGAGGAGAGTGGCAGAGATTACTTATCCTACAGCCTTTAAAAAATTGTCCTAGCCCATTACCACAAAATTATTTGTTAAACGGGATTAATAAGTAACCCTATGACAATTATGTCTGGTAGGAGGAATAAAGACTGGAATATCTAAATTACGAAAAGACTAGCTTTTGAGTAAATTTGTTATTTGGATGTGTGATGACACTTAGCTCTGCTAGCTTACCCTTCATTGTGATCTGTCACTACGTCTACATTTTGTCTACCTAATTGGACATTTCTGCTTGGACATTTTAAGATGTTGAAATCCAAAAACATGGCTCCTCTCTGAAAGTAAAAAGGTGTTTTTGAAAGAGTCTAAAATGTACTTTATAAATTATAATGAATCATTGGAGAGTTTAAGCAAGGAAGTGGTATCTTTTAAAATCTTCATCACAATTCTGCAAGGGAATAATTATTATGCCCATTTTATAGATAAACTGAGGCTCAGAGAAGTGATCAGACAGCCAGGAAATGGGAGAGCTGGGAATTGAACCCCAATATGACTCCAAAGCCTGTACTTCCCACTTTACAGTGCAGTCTCCCCCAATGTAATTTGCTTTACTTGACTAAAGTTTTCTAATCATTCAGTTGTCCTATAACTTGACAGTTGAAAATAGCATAGTAGCTAAGACGCCAAGATTATGTAATCAGCCAGATTTTTAATGCATTCTCATTCTCATTATTATTTTTCATATATGTAATATATGACATAAAAATGAATAGAAAAAAATGCCGACTCTTTCACAATTCTGTTTTGGGACTAGATGTCTAGCCATGTTGATGTGCACTTTGCACAATCTTGTATATGAGCTAGCTGAATTTTTGTATCTTGTTTAAGTTACATAAGCTAGAAAGATAATTTTTTGGGTAGAATATTTTAAAATGTGTTTCTTTATTTTGGGGTGGCAACTGAACTCAACACCTGGGCATGCGCCCTGGACAGGAATCGAACCATTATTATTATTATTATTATTATTGTTGTTGTTGTTGTTATTTTTATTTTCACTATTCCTCTTTTTATATCACCTTAGAAAATATGTGTGTTTAACAGGTAAAGTGTTAGTATTTCAAATAGTGAAGTCTTTGAGGCCTCGTGGCTAGTAAAATGCCAGTAGCTAGTGGCTTGTAAAATCTAATTGAATGAGCAGATATTGACAGAGCATCTTAAAGCAGATGTGACACATGGCACTGGATTCAGATCTAGTTTCCTTTTTTTTCTTCTCTAAATATTAATTGAGTGCCAGGCACTATTGTAGGTTCTGGTTTTTAAATGTAAATAAAACTAAAATGGTTTGTACTCTTAGGAAGCTTTACAGTCTAGTGGCTGAGCCCATAACCTGCCACCTGAACTTTGCCAGTCAGTATCTTCTTCTGTAAATGGGGTAAAAGCATCATGCCTTACTCTGTGAGAAATAAGTCAGGCAATATGTATAAAGCAACTAGCGCAAAATATGGCACAAAGCAAGTATTTTAGAGTTTAACCTGTACTAAATGGTAACTTTGTTTTTTTTAATATACTAATTAAACACGATGAAGTGTTTCTTTTTATATTAGAGTGAGTACATGGAGAGCTTGGGATTGTGTTTATTTATAACAGTGTGAACTGACACTGGTAGTGAAAGACAGACTTTAGATATTATGGGGGTCAATAGCTGTATTCATAGCAGTGTTATTGGTACTTTTGAATGAGCATTTCCTTCCTATGGGACTCAAGATATTCAGGTCAGCACATATTGTCAGTGCCCTCTGCTGTCTAGTTCCAATAGTTCAGTAACAGAGAGAATATATGGTCAGTTATAACCGAATTCATCTGATCATGATTTTGTTTCTACATCTAGAATAAACATAGTAGGGAAAGGTATAATCTTACAGAAAAAACTAACATGTGCAAATAAATAAGAATGCTATTTAAAAGACAGGGTAAAGCCATTACATAATGAAAATTCAGTTCTGATAATTGCAAGATTTAGTTGGACAAAAGTCCTACTGAGAATGGTAAGACACTAACCTTTCAGAAATGCAGATTAAGGCTCAGATGATCCTGTCAAGAAAAATGAGATTACCTCTTCTGCAATAAGACCTCTGCTTTATGTATTGTATTTTAATAGAAGAAAATATTAGGATACTTTACACATGTCTGTTGCATTGAAGTATACTCTTTGTTAACTTGATTAGCTATCATATCTCCATATCTCCTAAAGAAAAAGAAAAAATAATTCTCACCACTCTGGATGGTTCCCAAATAACTCAAGTCTTTTTTTTTTTTTTTCTTCTGTGAGTGATTTACAAATTATATGTTTATTAATAAACTATACAAACCTATTAGAATTTAGCTAAAAAAAAGTTATTAGGTTTTTTTCTTCAAGCAGAAGATAGAATGTAGTTTTAAAAAAACTATATATACATATATATTTATGAAAAATGGATCATATCCAGAGAAGGAGAAAATAAATAAGTATGGGGAAGTATCTAGACAGAAATATTAAGGCCTAGAGAATTTTTATAACAAGCAAGGTATAGTCAAGGAAGTTGCAAACCTGTTTCTAATGAAGTGGGAAGTTATCTCTGAGATAACTGGAGCTGCTGGTCATTATTTCAGGATGATGAAACATTAAATGAGGCTTCAAGCAAGTTGTGGAATTGTTACCTTGCTCATTTACAAAAGTTGTTTTCTTTAGTAGCCATCAATCTGGATGGCATAGATACTGAACTGCCAGACACAGAAGACGGGTCTAAGTAATATCTTCAGTTCTCCAATTCTATGAATCAAAA